TTTCAAAAGCAGCAAAAAGGCCATATTCTCAAAGCCATAGGACTATTTCTAGGTAAACTTTAAACTAAGATACGTCAGCAAGTTGGAACCACAAAATTAAATTACATAATATTCTTATCAGAAAAGGATAACCATTCACTGACAAATAGATATGATCAATATAAACTTGAATAGCAACATATTTGTGGATTTATTTCAAAGGCTATCTTGTTTAAATGATCTTCAGAAATTCCTTCATAATGCAAGTAGAACTAAATGCCTGATGCAAATGATTTCCTGCAAGTGTTTGCTTAGATTTTTAAACAAAATTGCTTCATTGCTGCTTGTTACTTGTTTCTGTTCATTTACTATAGTTATTCAAATAAGAGTTGTATTTATGCTCAAAGGTAAAATGGGACTAAAGGCATGTGGTCTTACCTCTTCTTCCCTTTCCCCTATAAATGTGATTAAACTTGTATGGATTTCTTGCAAGCATCTGACTCCAAAAAAAGCTGTGGTCGCTATATGTAAAAGTAGGAAAAGTATGCCAAAGAGCTTTAAGGCTCCATATCCCAGTCTTAGTTTTCATCTTCTGAAATGTGAGGACAACTTTACAAGACAGTGAAGAGTTTTGTCACTTGAGTAGCAGAGCTTGGGCAGGAACTTGAAGATCCATGGATGCATGTAAACCCGTCCTGAATTGGGTTTGTGACAGCTCTAACAGCCAGGTCTCTCTACCAGACTGCAGTGAAAAATTATGCTGAGATCTCATCTTTGGCTAATTGAGAATCTGCAGGGCTGTTTTCTATTACCTGGGTGGCTTGCATTAAAATCGGGGGGAGAGGACCTTTGGGGCTGCACTCCACAAATCGCTGCAGCTGCTGCTACTGGATAGTGCATCTTCCCTCTCCCCATTACCCTTCCACAACTAAGACTCTGTCAGGCTGGGTTCTGACCAGGGCTTTCTTGGCAGTTTGTTGGATTTATTTTCTTCACAGAGCAGTGATGCCATGCTAGGTCATGGATAAGCCCTGATCTCTCATACAGTTGAATCCTGATGACATATAATCAAATGCAAACTCAAAATTCCATGTAATTATTACACAGGGCTAATTTCTCAGTACAACACAATTTCAGTTAAACAAAAAAGGCTGTGGCCAGATATAGGATGCAACTATAAGAAACTGCACCAATGAATGCATAAACTTTCAGTTAATGGCTCAACACAACCCAGTCCAAAGGCTCAGGAGCATCCATTTCTTGGAGCTCAGACACCTGGATTGTCCATGGAGCTGCATGCTGAATGAGACACAGTTGCTCACTGCTGTTGTTAGAAGGAATTTGTTTGATGTGAACTCTAAAAATAAGGAAATCCCACACTCTACCTCTTTTTACAGGTTTCCTGTGATAACTGGCAATGTATGATGTTATGACACAATGTACTTTAACTGTGTCATGGTGAGAAGAATTCCTGAGATTCCTGATAAATGGCAGCTGGTTATACTTAGGAAAGAAACACATCTTGTTTTTGTTATTCACCACTAACTCTGGGGAGGAAGACAGCATCTTTCATACACTTACAATTGGTTCAAAATTAAATTCCTTGGAATCAAAAACATTGAATAAACTATGTCAGTGTCTGACAAGGTAATGTATGAAGGATACAGTTCTACCTTTAAAATTAATCATCCTTAAACAAAACAAAAATAATTTGATGGCATACTGATCTCCCAGACACTGTTAGTCTTCTACAGCAAAGAGAAAATTAAAGGATTTTTAAACAGTTTATAACCATAGAGGGAAAAATCCATCTGGGGGGAAAATAAAACCAAACCATCACACAGCAAAAACTTTTATCTCTGACACTGGCAGTCCCTCAGCTAGTCCTTCACAACTTTGGATTCAGGAAGTCAGGGATATTATGTAAAATGCACTAATCCACAAGCAGCAACAAGGTCTTAGGTACATGTGTAGACTTGTCTAAAGGTGTCAAAGAAATTAAATCACAGGAGTTTAGGCAGCCAGGGTCAAGGGAAAAGGGAATTTACAACTTCAGCATGTGTCAAGATCGCTCATCAAAGTTAATACTTTCTCCAATTACCTTTTCTCCCATAGATCTTCTGCAAGAAATGGTCCCTCCTCTCTGGCCTCAAGGATAGTTGCTGAACTTGTGAAAGCCTGAGACAGTCACCCTCACACAGCCTTTCTCAGCATTTAGAGTGCATTTTGTGACCTTGTGATGTGTGGAAGACACATAGAAAATGTGTTTGGGTCCAGCCTGCCTAAAACATACCTGTGCCTTTAGGGCTGGCTATTGGCTTGTGAAAGTCACAGTAGGGAAATGACATGCAGAAATGTAACCTTGGCTGATTATCTCATTAAGAATAAAAACTTTAAATCATGAAGTAATAAATTCTAGCCTTACTGCAATAAAACATTTGCAAAGTAAACAACACACGAAGCATGAATATCACTGGATGATTTGGACATAATTTATAATTAACTTCTTGCTGGCAGCACCACCATATAAAATGAGACAACATTCAACACATTCAAGGCAACATCATTGTATGCCCTAAAATTAAGAATTATAAAGATAGTTATCCTCAGATAAGTTTCACTGGCACTTTGGACAAGTCTGTGTAACACTTCAGCTTAATATAGTGACCAATTTAAACTAAACATTTGTTTAACGTATTGTCGTTGTGCAACATGGATTTAATAGTAGCTGAGATCTGTAATCTTGGTGGTTTTCATTAGTCTGTAATCTTTTATTGTAATTTATCTAAACTATGTAAGCATTAAGATTGTAGGACTATGACCACTATACTAAGGTCAAGTCTGTTAGAAAAAAACACAGACGTTTCTATATTAATAACTTCTTTGAAATGCACTGCAATTTTAAACATTCCTCAGGAATGCAATTATTTTTCAGTGCCATGAATTTCAATATAACTACTTGCAAATATTGTATGAGAACAAAAGTGTTCAAGGGGCCTTTGGTTGCAAAATACAGCCAATTAACCAGTGGGATAGATTCCCTAGACAGTGGGGAGTATCTACTCCTGGTAGTCTTCAAGAGCAGATAAAAAAGGATCCACCCAGGACACATGGAGGTGGAGCTGACCCTGCCTTTTAATAGGGATCTCAATTGCCTTATGCTCCAGGATTGTCCTTCCACAGCTCCTTGCTTCACTGCACTCCTTCCTTGGCCTGAGCCTTTATCTGTATTTAGCTTTCAGCTCATTCTTGAAGCCTCAGTCACCCTTACACTCCAGAAACCACACAGATTGACACAATGAACTGGTGTAATACTCCTATTCTGCATGTGCATTATTCTGTTTTGCTTGCCTCTTCCTTGAATTTTAGGGAGCATCCACTTCCCCATGTGCCTGCATGGACCTACGTAAATTCTAACCACAAGAAGGTCCCACTCCTGATTAGCCTTAAAATTACCCCAAAATAAATGTCTGGTGACAAATGTTCCGTAATAAAATTGTATGGGTACATCTCACAATGTCATCTCACAGCTGTGATGCAGTGGGCAATAGCTGAGACTGTACAGTACACAGAGGTGACACATTTTTTTCTAAAATAAAAGCATGAGTAAATATCTAATAGCAACACTAACTTACATTATGTCATCAGTTTTGAAGAGGAAATTACTCCATAGATTAATGAGGAATTCTACATGGAAGTCAAAGGTATGATGTAGTCTTATAGCATTAATCAAGAGCTAAATATGATCTGACCTACTTCAAACAGCTCAGCCTTTAACAGAGAGATTAAAAAAAGGCAGAGTATGAGAGTCCATATTTATTGCTGATGTAACACCAACAAAGCCAACAGAATCCCTTGAAGTTCTGAGTGCCTCAGAGCACCACATGGCAAGTGCCACAGGTCATCTGTAATCTGCAAGGTATGATGGATTGAGAAAGCAATGCCATTTTCCGCTCCTATTTAGGAAACATTATACTAAGAAATAAGATCTGACAGAACTGTATCTCAGAAAAATGTTTATTACCATGCAACAATGGATGTATCAATTCACTAAACAATTTTACAATTTCGAATATGAACTCACTCTAGGAAGTCCTCTGGAATGAACAAATCATAAGGTTTCCTAGAAAAACTGATTTTTTCTATATTGTACACAGTAAACATAATTATACTGTATATAACTCTATTGAAAAAGCAGTGAAAAATTAAATAGGCTATATTTTATTTTCTCAAAACCCTAAAACTTGGAGATCATTCATCCATCTGATCAAGTCAGACTTATTATACTGATCCCCAGACACAGTGATTCCCTCTTCCTTGGTGCTGACACCAAACATGATAGTATTCCCAGGCCCCCCTGAAGCTACGTTCTAAAGAGAGAGACATTAATAGATAATGACTGGGAAGAGAACACATAAATACCTTTTAAAAAATTAACAAACCTCGATTTCCTTGGACACATGAGCAATGAGAAAAAATCCAGTATCTTTTTAGGAAAACCCTCTAAAAATTTCTTAGTCATGACTTGTTTCTGGCTTCACACTCCATGACAAGGGCCACTATTTTCTTGTGATGTTGAGAAGTGTCCACTCGGCCAAAGTTCCTAGCCACTGACAGCCCTTCACATTTAGCATTTTCAGTCACTCTCATCAGGCTCTCTTAACCAAGTGCTGCATTTCCAAAAGAAGAAGACCCTTGCCAGCAAACTGGAAATTCAGCAGTCCCAGGGAAGGGGGACTAAAGGAGCTGTTACTTTCCCACTATTTCCAGAACAGGTCTGTGTCACATTGTTTACATCATGCATCATTCATCTGCTGTGATGAAATGTAACCCTGTGTTTTAAAAAAAGACTTCTGCAACAGTGAGGATACTCTATCTTTGTGAGAAGCATGTCACATATTTTCCATAGGCATCAACTGCTCCTGCTTCTATTTAAATCTGTGTGGCCCTCTTCAGAGGGCATTATTCACTCCAGGAAGCCCATTCAGAAGGTGCAGAGCAGAAGGAGGGGAGAAGCCAGGATGGCAGCAGACAGCAGCATGGCTCCTGAAGAAAAGCCGAGCGCTGCTCCTGTGAGAAGGGCTGTCCACAAGATCCGGATGGCCAGCCAGGTCTTCAGCTTGGCACGAGGCTGGCAGCAGTGGGCATCTGACCACCATGTAAAGCAAGAGCAAGAGCCCTCTGGATGGGTCCCCACTGCAGGAAGCTCATCAGCTCAGCCTGTACAAGAAAGTTCCTTTGAAAAACGGCGAATTCCATCCGTCAAGAGGGACCAAGAAAAAGATGATGAAAAATCCTTAGTAAAGGATTTGGTGACAATAAGAGATGCTGAAAAAAAATCAAGGGAATCAGATGAAGATCTCAAAATGTTCAGCATTAAAAGCAAAGAGGTGACCAAAACAGTTGTCAGCAAAGCCTATGAACGAGGAGGCGATGTCAGCCTCCTCAGTGAAAGATTCGAAAACAACAACAGCAGCTCCGAGATGACCAAACTCAAAGAAGAATCAAGCGCTATTGACAAAATTCTTAGCGACAAATTACCTTCAACCATAAGGAGGAAGTGTTCAAATGTAGTATCAGAGATGACCAAGGGCTGGGAGGAGATGGAAGACGAGAACAAAGATGGGGCCAAGGGAGAGCTGCTGCTGAAGTGCCGTGAAGACAGCCTGGATGCCCAGGACAGTGGCTATGGGGAAGCAGAGGACAAGCTCGAGCAGGAGGACAGCGACCGCGAGGTGACAGCTGTGAGGATTAAACGCCCTGTCCCATCTCTGTAAGTAAAGCATCTTCATTACATCAGCACAAATGGCAGAGGGGCACAGCTTTCCATGAGGAAAATGGTGGGGGTGGGGGGATAGTAGGAAGTGGTCAAAGATAAACTATTATTCTTGATTTATAAGAAATTAATCAAAATTCAGGAGACCTTTCACTTATCGCTCTGTGCTTAAGTAGTTACTCAACAACATCAGACTATGTACCTAATACAAGGTTAGGAAAAAAGTTAGGAAGTTATATTTGGGACATGTTAATTATATTTAATTTTCACACTGGATTTACCAGTTCATCAAATTAACTACTTATTTCTTAATACTTCAGTCCATGTTTCATAATCACAACTTTTACCTCATCAAGAGCCTTTAGCTACTCATTTATTTCAGCAAATGTTGTCTAAATCAATATATTTGACAAGTAGTATTTCCAAATACTTATTCATTATTTTGCTTAGTATTAATTGTAAATACTCTCAGGAGCAATTTGAAGAGAATGTCCCAAATTAATGTGGCAGGAATTACTTCCACATACTTCTTACCAAAAGTTGGAAGCTGCTTTGGAAGCTTTCCATGAATTTGGAATCCCTCAATTCAAAGAAAAGCAAATCCCACAGTATCTTGAACCCCAAGTTCATACCGTATCCCAATCACATTTTCAGAAATTAAAAACTGGATCAGCACTGACGATGAAAACTGATGAAAATGCCATAACAGACTTTGTGATCCCTGTGCAGACAGGCAGGGCTGTATCATGGTCACTATTTTGGTTTTACACCTCACTACTGATGAGCATTATCATGACCATTAGACTGTGACTAACACACTTATGGATTTCAACCATGCAATACCTTTAAGCACAGCTATCTGAACACACACTCCCAGAGCCATTTTAACTATTCAAATGGAATTAGAATGATGCTTTGCTATACAGCTGAGCAGTCAGCTCCTCTAAGAAGAAAATGGTTAACAGCCCAAGTGAAAAAAGCTCCCCAGTAACCTAGGGATTGAAAGTTTTTGGTACCTGCTTTTGGCAAGGACTGTGTTCACCATCCTTCACAGAAGTTATGACCTCAAAACAAAGATTCCAAATATACAGTGGAAAAAAGATACATTTGCAGCACTTATCTGTAAACAACTTCAATTAAAACAAATTTTTTCAGTTTCAACTGTTATAGTAGAAACCAACTATCTAGCTTCCATAAAACCAACTATCTTGTAGACCAACCATCTAGCTTCTGTTAAACTTTTCTTGTATTTTCCTCATATGTATAATTTTAGTGCTGCTACCATGAAAAAAGATTGATTAGCCATATTTACTGTGATCTAAATTATTGAAATAACACCCTCTATGTTACTTACAGCTCTTTCTTCCACTGAAATTGAACACAGAACTAATTTTCTGCACTTACAGTGCTGCTATCAGGACTGAACTTTTTTAACTACTCATTTTTTAAAATTTATTTTACAGCCACAGAACATAATATTTCAGCCTGCTACTTTTATAAACCTTTCAATGTGGTTTAATCTTCTTCAAAAAGGCCATAAGTACACAGTTGTTAAAGCATATCTCCTATTTTCCTCTCCACACTCCAGGAGAAAAGCATCAGTACAAGTGTTTTGTTTCCCTCACATCAGCACCTTCATTATTTCCAGCTTCACTGCTTACTGGAATAAGGTTGCTTCCTTAGTAGGCAGCTTGTTGATTGGCATAAGAGACTCTTCTGAACTCTTCTGTTCACAATTAGAAGCAAAAAGGATGCAACAGAAGGGATATGAAACTCAAAACATTAAAATGGGATTCATACCTTTCCCCTACAGAGAGAAACAGGGCAAATATGCTACATGGACCTAATTTGCCTAAAAGGTCAGAATGCATTTAGGATGTCATTCTGGTTAACAGGTTAACTTAGTTGATTGTTGCATGTAAAGCACTTCTTAGAGTGGGTAGAAGTTCAAAACCTTCACTTTGGGTGCACAATCCTTTGTGTAGGTGGAGTAGAAACATGAAAAAATGCTTCTATAAGTACACAATTCATTTTTTAAACCTGTCATTAAGCTAAACAATGGCAAAAATATCACTTCAGCAACTAGAAAGGGTAAAATTACAAGCTGCATTAAAAAAGTAAGGTTTTTTTCAAGCCCACGTGAGGCACAATAAAAGCAAAAGGATAGATAAGATGGTTTTCTCAACCACTGAGAAAATTATTTGGATGAGGAAGGCAATAATAATCTGCTAGAAAGGAAAATTAGTTTCAGTGGAAAAAGGAGGGAATACATTCTAGACCACTAAATTAAAGTAACAAAGACTGCACAACCTCCTGATGTCTCAGTCCCCCTCTCCTCTCCATTCAACCTGGGGAACTGAAGCTCTAGGACTTTCTCAGTGGTCATGGTCCCTGGAGAGAAGGGGAAGCAGCTGGCTGTGGCTGAGGAATAAGCCCTCCATAATGATATCTACTCATAAACTCCACTGAGACTGATGGAATCACTTCTTCAAGGCAATTTTGGTTCACTTAGGATTTTTTTTCCCCAGCCTTAACTGATAGCTTCCACATGGAGAGCTAGTGAAACAATCTGAGCTTCAGCTGGAGTTCAGACTGTGCTGGCACAGGGTTTCTGTGACTTTTGAGATAGCCATAGGCTTCAGGAGACAAATTCCTTTGCATAGCCAAATCCTGTGCCCAGAGTTCCTCTGACAATGAAGGCACAATTCAGGTGAAGGGACAAAGGATCACAGCTCTCCCTTTCTCTGTATGACAGTAGCTTATATAGAGCAGCATTTGGGAAACCAAATTGTCTAGATTTACCCCACTAGTATATTTTAATGCTTTCCTGCCAACACCTACCTGTTAGTCATTTACACAGAATTACAGGTACAGACACACTGCCTACTCTCATGATGCTCTGTAGTCACACCAGAGAAGAAAGGTGCACTTGGCAACAGTATGCTCAATTCTTCTGATAGTTTTTCACCAAATTGATAGGGAAGAATATTTTGGAGCTTTTTAAACACAGTTCCTCAATACAGCTAAGCCAATCTTAGGGCAACTCCACAGCTAATAAGGTAGCGCAGCTCTCCGAGTTCTTTTTCTATCCCTGGCACTTAGTGTTTGCAACTCTTACCCTAGCATAGCCCTGCCCAGTACTGGCCTCTTTCTGGTGCACTGATCTGAACTAGGGACATCTCTCTGACTCCTATTCTCTATTTCAACCAGCTTAGTAGAAAACAAAGGAATGTCCAAACAGTGGGGGAACAGAATTTTCTGCAACTTTGCAGCCCTGTGTGCTGTTTGCTAAGTGCATTTTGACTTTCTGGTGTTAATATTCAGCTGACAATACTGGGAAGGTTGCAGAGCAGCCTTCTGGGGAGTAAAAATTTTAGAAAACAAATTACTTTGTCACAGCCACAGTACAGCATAGTCCCAACTGAGTTCAGTACATATACATTGACAGGACGTGGACAGCACAATGACTAGCTCAGACTATCCATAGCTCCCCCACAACATGTGAGATTGGCCACAAGAGGATAGAATGTCTGTCTGGAGTAATCCAGAACTATTACACATATAAAAAAAAAGAAAAAAAAAAATCTCTGAAGGTCTTTCCTTATCCTTTGTCCTTGACACTTTCAGGCTTCTACCCTACCCATGGGAATGTGAATTTTGGACTTCAATATTTGTTCAGAATCATATTCCAAATACAGAAGCACAGACAGAGCTATGATACTCAATTAGGTTTTTGTTGTTGCTATAATCATTGACATTTATTACAGAAGACATTTTTCTAGGCACTACCCTCTAGTTTTCAGCCAGGTCATACACCTACAGCAATCAGCAATCACCTTCAGCCAGGTCACACACCTACAGCAATCTCTAACCTCAGTCAGGCACACTTCAGGCTTGGCTAAGCAAGCAGGAATGGGGAACTACGTGACTGACCGAAGGTACAGAAAGTGCAGGTGATCAGCAACATACTGTTTTGTTCCCTTACAGAATTAAGTCATTCTGGTACAAAGTTTGTGAAAACAGACTCAGAGCAGGGCTGGAAGGTGGTAGTGTAGACAGGATAAAGCTGTAGTCATGGAACTTGCCTTTGTGTGCAAACTGAATGCGGACAAACAGCCCCTAGAGAACTAATTTAGAAGTGGTGAACTCGTGCCACCTGGTGGATTCCAGCTCGCCCCTAACCCACAGAAGCCAGTTACAGCAGATTTCAATAAACAGCAGAACTGTATCAGGAAAGGAGGAGATGCAAAGCTCAGGTGTGTTTCTGTGTCTTTCAGCGCCAGCCGGCTGAGCGAGGAGGCGCGGAGCAAGGCGCGCAGGAAATGCAGCGCCGTGCACAGCCTCAAGGACAGGTGGCAGGAATGGGCCGACCAGCACATCATAACGCAGAAGCTGAACCCCTTCAGCGAGGAGTTTGACCACGAGCTGGCCATGTCCACGCGCCTGCACAAAGGGGACGAAGGGTACGGCCGCCCAAAGGAAGGCACCAAAACTGCCGAGAGAGCCAAGCGAGCCGAGGCCCACATCCACCGGGAGATCAGGGACATGTGCTTCATCATTGAGTCCATGGCCAAGCCACGGCCCGACGGCAAGATCCAAGTCACTTTTGGGGAACTCTTCGACAGATACGTTCGTATTTCAGATAAGGTTGTTGGGATTCTCATGAGAGCCAGGAAACATGGGCTGGTGGACTTTGAAGGAGAAATGTTATGGCAAGGAAGAGATGATAATGTCATCATTACTTTATTAAAATAAGTTAGGCTATAATCAGAACAACTTTGGAAAACTTTTCTCCTCTTCTCCCTTGCCATTAGCATTTGCACATTTTGAACATAAGGCTCCCTTGTTCACCACATAGAAAAGTGTATTTTTTGAAATATGTATTTTATAACTAGTGCATGAAAACCCAAACACCCAAATGGACTTCATTTTGTACCAGAAATGCTTTCAGGACAATGAAGTTAATTACTACATAAAAAATAAGGAGAAAAAGCTATATGGAATATAAGCAGCTGATCATAAAAGTCCATAGCAATATAAATAGCTACAGGAATATGAAACATGCCAGATCAGAAGCTGAATGAGAAAATAAACTCAGACAAAGGTTTTGATCTGAAAAATGCTCTTGTGCATGCACTTTCTAATTAATTGATTTAAACACAAGTAAAATTACCTTATTTTAATACAGAATCAAATATACATTTGTTTTCTTTACAAGCACAATATGTAACTATCACTGCAGTATTCTCTTGTTGATACAATTGTTGACATAGCTTTCTCTTACATGTGACATAAAAAATTCTTTTTATAAATGGGGTTTTATATATTTATTGTATTTATATAACTAATTTTTTGATTATTTCATATGTAAACTTATGGAGTTTGGAATGTAATGAATAAAAATGTTTTGATTAGATAGCTACCTAAAAAATACCTTCTATGTAATGTTGTGCAATGTCTTATCTGATTATCTATGCTGATACTGTTTAATTGTAAGATGGAATCAATGGAGCTTATTTAATGTTTTCCTGAGATCTCTTAGACTACTCAAGCTGACCTACAAAACTGATGTCTTAGTGTAATACTTACATATAATAATTTTTACCTGCATATTCTTACCTTATTCTTTACATATTTATATATTGACCTTTTGTAGCTGTCTAAATTGTCTTGATAAAATTTTGTTGTCAAAGGAATACATGAACTCCTTAATTATTTCTTGGGTTATTTTACCACACACTAGGAAAAAATACATGTGCACATTCACTGAAGTAAAATGTCAGTAAGTTGCTTCAAAATATAAGCACACATATATTCTCCTTTTCATGGGCTATTAAAATATTTCCTCTGAAGGTTTCTCTGTCCAAAGAACCAGAAAAATATTTCAGAGTGGCATGGCAACAGACCTTATACAAAACACCTGCACAAAAAATACACACTAAAGGCATGTAAGTGTTAAGTGAATTAAGCTCATTGATTGGTAGCTCACTGCAGGTAATTTAAGCCTCCTATTCAGTCATCCCAGTGTTAAAATCTACACAAAATAAACCAAACCCCCAACTTCATCCTATTCTTCCCCTCAAACTATTTTATTTCCAATCAGATGAGAAAACCACAGGACATAACAAGTATTTTTTCTCATACTACCCTCCACTATTTAACTTTGAGTAGGCAGTATCATGCAAAATTTCTGAAAATAATTTAACATTTTTGTCAAAAAGAAGTATTAAATGTTGATATAAGTAATGGTGTTTGGAAGCATTTCATGTAGGTTCTATGCTTTAGAGCATTTTTTACATTAAGTTGTGTGACAAATTTATCCATGGTGTGGGAGATAATAAATCTGACCTCACCAAAAAAACAAAACCAAATGTACTCCCTGAATTACCCACCCTAACTCTCCTACTATACTGTGTTACATTCTTGTGAAACTAGCACAACCTCTGCCAAGATTAAATATTTTAATTTTTAAACATTTTAATTTTAAATATTGAAATATTTAATATTTAAATTTTAAATATTAAGCAGGTCAAAACCTGCTTGATTAAAGCAGTCTCTGTAAATTTTTATTTAAGTCCTGCTTTCCTATTTCTGACTTGCTTTGAAAATAAGACCTTTAACCTTTGAGACAATGAGCAACTCTCAGCTACTCTCATGGTAGCTTGTAACTATAAGAACATTATTTCCTAAATAGTGTATTCACTCCCACAATGTTTTACTTGAAAGAGAGCTCCTGCACTCTCCTGTCTGAAGCTAGCGTTGGTTTTGCACATCCTTGGTAGTGAAAAAATTCTATCTTCTTCTGTAGCAACTTAGATACATTTTTCATATTCTAATACAAAGTTTAAGTGACAGCATGAAACTTGTATCAGAAGAAATAAATTTGACTTTTACACCTTTGTATTTTTCCAAGTCTTACCACAGTGGCTTGAAGTGAGTGGAAGGTTCATTGGACATGTACCCTACCTAGCAGAAATCAGCTCCCTCCTCCACAGCAATAATTCCTTCTTTACAAATGTTTCTGTACAAGCAAGGTTCAGTAATACAGCTCATTCTTAAAACAGGGGAAGGCTATTGAAATAAAATGAGCTGTACTGAAGAGCATACTACTCATGGTGATATGTTCAATCATCATTCATCAAGGCTCTCCTCCCACAGCCATTTCAGCTGCTATGTACACACTGCACTGCCCCAACATCTCAACTAAAGCCACTGCTGACACCTCAGGGCATGAAGCAGTTTAGCATTCAACAGCACGTGTTATCAGCAGTGCAATTATCACAAGAGAAAACAAGCTATGACTACACAGCTCCTAAGGTAAGCAGGACAGCAGAAAGCAGAGCTGGCACTGGCACTTCTGCAGGGAGACAGCCAGCAGGACTGGCTTCCACATACTGCACCAAGTGCACACCATTCCCTCAGCTGGACAATTCCTCTCTCTGCTCCAGAAGTGCAGTGCAGCTCTCTATCACTGCAGTAGCACCTACTCTTTAAGAGGAGAAAGAGGAGTTTTGTTCCCTTAATTGAGCTCCAAATGGCAATGACAACAGCAAAATACCCTGATGACATGTGCTCTTTTATGAAGGAAGAACATATCAGTGAGATTTAAGATTCAAATACTGAATGAAGAATTCAAGATTATTTTTTTATTTGAAGTTGAAGGAATAGTCAATGTTCTTACTCATCTTCCAAGAGCAAATTTTATGCAGACATTCTAATTCCCATACAAAAAATTAACTCTAATGCAATATAAACAGGTGAGCAGGAAGATGCAAGCACAAGCCCTAAGCCATGAATTATGACCTTTCTGCAGATTACACAAAAGCAGTAACTAACACAGATAGGATTTAGAGCCAAAAGGTGTTAATTGAAGAATCCCATGTTTGGATCCCAGGTACCCAAATAAAAAAATCAAGTTATTCAGTGAATCCATCTAAGTACTGGATGCTGAGACACGCTCTTCTGGCAGCCAGCTCCAGATAATGGGTCTCATAAGCCTCCAGGGAATGTCAAACTTTCAATGCTTTACAATCACAGAAACAAACCTTTCCAGGAAAGATGGAAAGGAATTCTACTGCAGAAAAAGGATAATGAACTGAAGGCAGAAGGGACATCAAGACTGTGCTTCTATGTGTGTCATACAGAAATTAACTATACCTCTGATGATAAAATTCATGGTCTTGCCTAAATAGACATGCACTACTTTCTATAGATCATTTACACAGTCAGTTGCTTCACCAAGTATTGCTAGAGTCATTTATGCTTTAAATCAAATGTTCTTGTATTTCTTAACCAATTTAGTATTTTACAAGCACGATTGCTCATGTATTGCTAACTAAACACTATCCTTTATTTCTACTTTTTTGTTTCCTATTGGCTTTTCCAAGACTGGTCCAATACTTGGCAACATTCAGCTACTGAAGACTTTTGTGTGGTTTCATTTAATTATTCAAATTATAATTATTTATAAAATTCTTCACACCACCCTCTAAAAAACTAAAATATGCTTTATTTGCAATATGAGCTTAGGACAGAGACTATGCAGTTGAATTAGCAGTTTTGTCAGCAAGGATGATCTGAGACTTTTCTTTTTCCCTCTCCTTCTTCAAAATGGTTGAAGACAATTTATTTAATTCCCATTGCTTTCCATGGGGCTTTAAAAAGCCCCAGAAATGCCAAAAAAGATGAGAAAATGCATCCTATACATTCAGATGTTAAATGAACAGCAAAACCCAGCATTTGTGCTTCTACATAAACTCGACCTTCTAAATAAACTCCAACTCAAGTTTATTTTTACATATATTTAGATTTATTTGCTATACATCACTGTGAGCTTATAGGACTTGAAATCCATTACAGGATTTTTTTTTTGTTGTAATAATCAGTTGTAACTCCACAAAGACAATAATACTGCTGTGGAAGACCAAAGGGGAGAAAAGCCATTTCAATTTATTTACAGTTCCTTATTTTGTAAACATTTACTCTACACATTGTACTAAGTTCTAAGAAGGATAAAGAGATATACATAGAGACAGGAAAGCCCTGTTTTTCTATTCATATTGAGCATTAGCATATTATAGATGAAACATCTGCCCTTTCTCGTTACCATAGCAGTAAGCTGTCTTCAAATAAGTTTTTTTTTTAAACTTTCCAGAAATGTAAATATTTTGAAATATACAACTACATCTACTAAGCCAACCCATTTGGCTTTTATTCCATTTCTAGAATAATTTAAAGTGCTATAAGCAACCCGTCAATCAACACTTTTCTATAATAACAAAACTACTTTAAACATTAATTTACAAGATAATATACAATGTTTGTCTGAAATAGCTGAAATTTCAGCACAAAGTCAGTCACTGTCACACTTAACAGCAATTTTTTTGTTCTTTTTTGTTTTGGTTTTTTTTTTTTTTGCAGAACATAGAATAAAAGCTTTGAAACAAACAGTTTTGTTGAGCTGTTATTGCCACAATGGCTTATCAAGTTTTCTACAAAAGTGGACAAGAGCTACTGGAACTGTATTCTAGCCTGTCATTTATTTTTTGAGGTCACATGACAGTAAGTTTGCATATTCCACAAGTCTACTGAATTACAATATTGTCTACCTATGATACATGATGTCATTTTAATCAGAGCTGGTGCTAATTGTAAATTTACAACATAGACCCACTCAAAAACATCACAAATTTTTTTTTCTTTGGACAGGAATAAGCTATATTCTTGGAGCTGATGTGCTACACGGCTACAACAGT